GCACCCCACACATGTGATAAAGTACGGGCACCCACCACTCCATCTGGTTGTCGTACTGAGAAACTCAGGTTTTCTAACCCAATTGAAAACCAACAGCACGTTCTCTGACTCTATAACACAAATCTTTAGGCAGATGATTAGGGAGGTGTTGGGTTGATTTCCTCGAGACTCTCAATGTGAGAATTATCGCTTAGTATAATGAGGTAACTTGTAAGTATAATATCACATAATCAGTGTCATTCAGGGTACAGGGTACTTAGGCACTGGTAGCAGCTGAGAAAACTCAGAGTCCTTCTAAATGCTCTGTGCTCAAAGGGAGGATGAGAGAGAAATGATTGTCCTGAAATCGATTCTTCCACCGGTCATCCTTGACAGATATTTCCATGTCATCCCTCACACTTTAGTATTCAAATGAGGATGCACACAAGAGTTCTGAAACTCATTAACTTTGTTCCCAATTCCTGTTGGTTTGATTTAACTCATGAAGTCCTGGCGACCCCAAGTGCATCAGAGCAGAACTGCACTCTTTATGGTTTTCATTGGCTGATGTTTCAGATGCAGCTCACCAGACCTTTCTTCCAATGTGCCTCTGTATCTATAGAAACCAAATGTACTGGCGTCAAGTTGATCCTGACTCATGGCAGCACCTCCTTGGGTTTCCAAGGCAGTATCTCTATGGAAGTAGATTGTCCAATCTTCCTGCAAGGAATGGCTGGTAGGTTTGAACCACCAGCCTTCTCGTTAGCAGTGAAGTGCCTTAGGCACTGCACCTCTATATGTATACAGGATATATATATATATATACATACATATATGTATATATATATATATTCTATATCACCACGTTTTCAGGTGGACTTGAACCCCCAAACTTTTGGTTAGAAGCTAAGCACTTAATGGTTTGTGCCCCCCAGACACTGGAAAATCATAATGGCCTGTGGGGCAATGAGTTACTTGGTATTGCTTTTGTAGCCATAGTCTTTGTAACTCCCACCGGATTACTGGGTTGTTGTTGTTAGGTGCTGTTGAGTCATTTCCGACTCATAGCAACCTTATGCATGGCAGAATGAAACACTGCCTGTCCCGTTGAGAGCCTTAACCTTTCTTTGTTGACCCTCCACTTTACCAAGCATGATAGCCTTCTCCAGGGAATTTTTCTTCCTGAAAACATGATCAAAGTAGGTGAGACGAAGTCTGGCCATTCTCGCTTCCCAGGATCATTCGGCTGCACTTCTTCCAGGACAGATTTATTAGTCCTTTTAGCATAGCGTGGTACTCTTAGCATTCTTCTCCAACACCACAACTCAAAGGCATCAACTCTTCTTCGGTCTTCTTTATTCATTGTGCACCTTTCTTCACATGCATAAGAGGTGATTGAAAATACCATAACTTCTGTTAGGTGCACCTTAGTCTTCAAGGAGATATTTTTGCTCTTCATCACTCAAAAGAGGTCTTTTGCAACATATTTGCCCAATGCAATACATTGTCCGATGTCTTGACTGATGCTTCCATTGGTGTTCATTATAGAACTGAGCAGTATGAAATCTTTGATAACTTCAAACTTTTCTCCATCCATCATGAAAGTGTTTATTGGACCAGTAGTGAGGATTTTTGTTTTCTTTATATTGCGGTGTAATCCATATTGCAGATGGTAGTCTTTAATTTTCATCAGTAAGTGTTTCAATTCTTGCTTACTCTCAGCAATCAAAGTTGTGCCATCTGTGTATCACAGGCTGTTAATGAGTCTTCCTCCAATCCTGATGCCAAGTTCTTCTTCATATAATCCAGCTTCTCGCATTATTTGCTCAGCATACAAGTTGAATAAGTGTGGTGAAAGGATACAGCCTTGACATATTCCCTTCTTGATTTTGAACCATGCAGTATCCCTTTGTTCTGTTTGAATGACAGCCTCCTGATCTATGTACAGGTTCCTCATGAGCACAATTAAGTTTTCTGGAAGTCCCATTCTTCTCAATGTTATCCATAATTTGTTATGATCCACACAATCAAGCGCTTTTGCATAGTCAATAAAACACAAGTAAACATCTTTTTGGTATTCTTTGCTTTCAGCTAAGATCCCTTTGACATCAGCAATGATATACCTCATTCCATGTCTTCTTCTGAATCCAGCTTGCATGGGTGGGACCATGCAAATAGAACTCTGATGTTGGTATTGGTTAGTTTTGTTCACTCTGCCAGGCTTAAAATGAGTCCTCCTAGAGGCAGAGAGGGGATCTCACTGCCATCCAGAGAGAAGAGCTGGAGGTGAAGTGGAGCACGTCCTTGGACCCAAGATCCCTGTGTTGGACCTCCTTGGCAGAGAGACACCCCAGTGCAGAGATGGTGGGAGTGAAACCAAGAAGCATGGGGCAAAGGGGCAGCCTTACCTGACCCACAGAGGCAGAGGCCAGGACAAGAGGGCAAGGGCCAAAGAGGAATGTCTGAGGGCACAGCAGAGGAGGAAAGACTGTCCCCATTGAAGAACTGTATCATGAGCGCACTCCTCACCTGAATTATAGCCTGTTACTTCCCTAATAAACCCCATGATCGTGAGTATTATCTGTGAGCTCTGTGCGGCCACTGCAATGAATTATCAAACCCAATAGAGAAGTAGTGAGTACTGTTGGAGGGATAGTTGGTGTCAAAACTGGTAAAAAGGCTGGAGAGTGGTGGCATGTCTGGTCTCATAGGAATAAGCTTTTGGCTACTGCAGATGATTCTCTCTTCTTCTTGGGAAGTTAGAGGAGGTCAGAAGAAGCCACCTCTGTGTCTTTGTTTCATGGTCTCACACAAATATAAGGCTTTATGATTCAACGAATATTTTAATCAAACATTATCAGATGACTCCAACAAGGGACAGATAATATCAAGTACATTCAATATAATCCCTAGAAGCAGGGAGTGTTCTGTAAGACCAGTTATGAGTGAAGGGAAAGTGAAGGAAAATAAGTACACATAGAAATTAATTTTTCCCTTATCATGAATAGAGGTGTGTGAGGAATATTGTTCTGTTCCACTCTGAATAGCAAAGATGGTGGCTCTGTTGGGCCACACCACCTGTGTGGGATTCCCCCTATATTTCACTCTTGTTGCCATTCTACCTATTTGTTTGTTATCCATCTGTGCAGATGGGTGACATTGTTTTTCTTAGAAAGCATTTTAATGTCAGAATCCTTAGCTTGGCTGTTGTTGAGTACCATAGAGTCAGCTTTGACTTACAAAACCCAGAAAGCCAAACCCACTGCCATCAAGTCAATTCTGACTCATAGAGACCCTGTAGCATAGAGTGGAACTGCCCTATAGGGTTTTGAAGGCTGTAAATCTTTATGGAAGTAGACTACCTTGGCATCCTTGCCAGAGTGTGCCATCCTTACCGGAGTGTGCATAAAGTCTCTATCAAAAAGTTTTCTTTCAGGGTAAAGAGCTTTATGAATTTAAACAATGACTCAAACCTCTGGTGGTTTTAGGATGACAAAGTCAGGTACTGCCATGACAATCTCTTCTTTTTGATGTATTTTTTCTTGTTGTTCTCACTGAAGCATCCCTGAAATTCTTACATCACTACTTTATGAAAAATTCACCTCTAGTAGCCGTTCCTGAACAGTAGAAACCGACTCATCAGAGGAATCCCTCAAAGTCACATTGGACATGGAGGAGACTAATAATGTAGCTCAGTCTTTCAAGTGAAACTCAGTGACTCCGGCTCACTTCTCTGTCTCTGGGGTGTCAATGTCTCCTCAGGGGAAAGCCTGGGGCCCCTGCTCAGGATACTGGGGAGGCCAGTGCAGTGTGCATGTGGTTGAGTTGCCCCATGCAGTGTAGTAAATTACACAGTGTGGCTTTTCTAGCCACAAGTCTTTGTAAACTCTGTGGTGGAATTTGCCACGAGCAACTGAATAGCTCCTGATTGTTAAAGTTACCCACCTGGGGTATTTCTGTTGGCAGCAGCACAAAGTAATTTTGTGGGAAGTTTGTTCTCTCTCAGGTGTATAGAACTCTGATGTTGGGATTGGTTAGTTTGCTTACTCTGCGAGGCTCAAAAGGAGCCTTCTTAGAGGCAGAAGGAATCTCTCACTGCTGGCTGAGGGATGAGAGAAACATGCAGTGCTGAGGTTTGTGAGAGACTCACACTGCTGAGAGAGACACCAAGAGACACACACTGCTGGGAGAGAGACTGAGAGAGACTGTCGGCTGAGAGATGGCTGGCTGAGAGACACTGAGGGTGTTCCTAAACTTGAATTGTAGCCTGTTGCTTCCCTAATAAACCCCATAATCTGTGGGTTCTGTGTGGCCACTGCAGTGAATTATTGAACCCAGCAGAGAAGTGGTAGGTGCTGCAGGAGGAAAGGTTGGTTTCAGGGTTGGTGAAAGGGCTGGAGGGAGGCAGCATGTCTGGCCCCTCAGGAATAGGCCTTGGGCTACAGATAGTGATATGTGGTCCTCTTGTGGGATTAGAGAAGGTCAGAAGATGCAGCCTCCCTGCCCCTTTAGTACCCTATAAATAAATGTGTCCTTCTCCCCAGGAGACATAAGATGTGGCCTTCCCCTGACACAGGAGATGGAGCACTGGAAACAGACAACGGCCCAAGTGCCCACCTCCCCAGGACACCATCAGAATACTGGGACTGGACAGTGGCCCATGTGCCCACCTCCTCAGGAGGCTTAAGATGTGATGTACTTCCACACAGAAGACAGAGCACTGGGACTAGATGATGGCCAACATGTCTACCTCCTCAGGAGATATAAGATGTGACTTTCTCTCACACAGAAGATAGAACACTGGGACCAGATGATGGCCCATGTGCCCCCCTCCCCAGAAGACATGAGACATGATCTACCACCACTACAGGAGACAAAACACTGGGACTGGACAATGACTCACGTGCCCACTTCCCCAGGAGACATGAGATGTGACCTTCCCCTGCCACAAGAGACAGAGCACTAGGACTGGATAATGGCCCATGTGCCCACCTCCCCAGGAGACACAAGACGTGACCTACCTCCTCCACAGGACACTGAGCACTGGGAGCGGATGATGGCCCATGTGTAGCTCGGCTGGAGACTCAGCCTCCTCTCACCCCGCAGCCGAGGCACCGCATATTCCCACACAACACCCGGGTTCCTGCCCTGGAACAGAAGCTACACAAAAAGAGCAAAGATCAGACAAATGGCAGTAATCAGTATGTCTATGTTCCTTTGTTTGAGAAGCCTTTAGACAGTAACACTTCAACAATTTAGTCATGATGATAAAGAAAATAGTTGCCAATTTTACTTGCCAAAATGTACACTAACTTCCCATGTGGAGTACCATTCTCCTCTAGACTCAGGGAGATACAGGAAAATGCATCCACATCCCACCCTTCTGCCTCACATTTAGTTTCTTCCTCCAAACAAACTCAAGAATCTTTTGCTGCCTAACCAGAGTGATGATGGTGTCTACTTAAAGGCATGTCTACCTGTTTGCCACAGAGCTCCTGAGAGAAATGCATTCTGCAAATGGATGGAGGGTCCATGGAACATGCAAATGCAGTGTGAGTAAGTGCAGAACTAAGAGCCCCACCTTGCCCCAAAATGAAAGTTTGTTGGGTTTATTGTCCCCTTCAGGGAGCTCTGCTGGTGCAGTAGTTAGGCACTTGGCTGCTAGTCTAAAGGTCAGGAGTTGTAACCCACCAGCCACTCTGCAGGAGATGGATGTGGCAGTCTGCTTCTGTAGAGACAGACAGCCTTGGATACCCTCTGGGCCAGTTCAGCTCCATCCTCTAGGGGTGCAGTGGGTTTTGGAGCAGCTATTTCTCCATACAAAAGTACTTGAGGACACCAGTGACTTGTACTCCATTACTACCGAAAGGCTGGCCGTTTGAACCCACCCAGTGGCACAAGGGAAGAAAAGCCTGTGAATCTGCTTCTGTAGAGATTACAGCCAAGAGAAGCCTGTGGAGCACAGTTTTAAACTGTAACACATAGGGTCGTCTGGAGTTGGAATTGACTCAAAAGCAATGGATGTGGGCACAGCTCCATTCAGCTTATGGATGGATTCATGGTTTCACGTGATCTGATTATGAACATTTTTCAATGGATTTAGTGTTACGCTAACAGCCATGGATCTACAAAACACCCTGAGGTGCCCCAAACCCATGTCCTGAAACCACATGCTACCTCCACAATCAGGGTTTCGTTGGTCGGCCCTGCTGACATCAGACTCTCCGGCTTGTTGTGGGGCCGTCTGTAGTTGAAGGTGGTGCCAGCAAACTTGTATCGTCCTGGCCAGTCCACAGTCCAGTGTCCATTCAGGTAGTATCTTTTGAGGGAATTACGCACAGAAATGTAGGAGGTGGATGTGTTCATTTCGTAGATGCGGATGGTGTGGGCTCCAGCAGGAATGGTCACCATCTGATAATATTCTACACGAGAGGCAACGGGGGTGGGGGAGGGATGGTACTTCATGCCATAATGTCAAGACAAAAGCCCTAAGCAGCTTACATTCTCTGCACATGAAACTTGAGAGTCCACATTGGGTACCAGGGGAAGATCTGTTTTCACCATCGGTTACATTAGTTTTGTAAGTTATTGTTTTTCCTTTTTGCAAATTGGAGCAGAGCTATTGTAATTTTCATGATTCCAAAGACTGACTTGCACTCACATAACCTAGCAACCACTTCCAACCAAAACAAAATGCTTGAAAAGTGAAGCTCAAGTTAAAGTAGGGACATAAGACTGTGAAACTTTCAGGCCCCTGGCCACGTGCTGTCCTCACTGTCACCTCAAGCTCTTCCCTCAAAGAAGCCCGAGCTCCTATCTTTTCTGTAAAACTGGAAGATGATCTGCAGCACTCACGGTTCGTGGCATGGTGCTTGGTGTAGAGACCTTTGTGAATCATGCAGTCCGAGTTGTTTCCTTTGCATACACCACAGGAGTCTTCAATGGCATCTGACCCAAGGACATTGTCACAGCCAACTCTCTGGAGGACCCCACCATGTCACACGCCATTCATAAAAGAAAGGACACCAGCAAAGATGTCACAACCCACAAGCAAGAAAGCTCCTCCCCATGAAAGTTTAAAAAGCAGTGAGGCAATGTCGTTAACAAGTATTCATTGGATACCTAATATGTGCACAGTGACTCTATACTTCTACTCTCCAGACCCAAGGTGGGAGACCCTTGAAGTGGGACAGATTCTGTCCTCTTTGGCGGTATTGAGCCCAGATGGAATCTATCCAGGAGTCAAGTTGGAGACACAGGTGAATTTCAGACTAAAATGAAGAGCTTGGGACAATGACAAGTAATGTGTCCACACAAGATTCCATTGGACAGATGCCACCACCCTTTGGAAGAGCCTTGCCTACTGGTAAGAAGTAAGGGATGCCACATGAACATTATCTTTAGTAGTAAATTAGGTGAGCAGTGTACTTATTCAATGTCTTAAAATCTCAGGGGCCCTTTGCAGGTTCTAGGTTGCTTCTTGGTTTTGCATTTCCTAGCAGGCAGCCCTGGTGGCACAATGGCTAAAGAGTTTGGCTGGTAACTGAAGGGTCAGTGGTTCCAAGCCAACAATCCCTCTGTGGGAGAAAAATGAGGCAGTCTGCTTTGGTAAAGATGACAGCCTAGGAAACCCTTTGAGGCAGTCCTACTCTGTCCTCTAGGGGCACTGTGAGTCAGAATCGACTCCAGGACAGTGGGGTTTTTTTTTGTTTGTTTGTTTGTTTTGGTTTAGCAAAGACCATAGCATGGCCTCAGGCCTAAGGTTCAAACCCACCAGCCGTTCCCCACCAGGCCATCTCTTTAGGAGCTCTGGTAGCTAGTTCCTAAGGCACTTGACTGCTAACCAGAAGGCTGGTGGTTCAAACCCACCAGCCACTCCTCGGAAGTAAGGTTGGGCAATCTACTTCCGTAGTGATACTGCCTTGGAAACCCAAGGAGGGGTCAGTATGAGTCAGGTCTGACTTGATGGCATAACAACAACAACAACAACAACAACAATAGCACATAAAATGCAAAAAGTTCATTGAAACAAAATTGCTATAGTCCATACCCCCTTGTTTGTGACCTCTATGCATTTCAGAACCTCAGAAGGTTCTGGCTTCTTCTCCTTTCTTTTCTTTTTTTTTTTTTTTAAGTCATCCATGCTATTCACATAGTCCATATGATGGGAGAGACCCACAGGGCCTCAGGTTGTTGGGTGCTCACTGAATCCATCCTGACTCATGGCAACACCACACAACATTCATGAAACAGCATGATTTCCCCACAGGGTGAAGTAGGCTGTAATCCTTACGAGAGTAGATTACCGGGTCTTTCTACCAAAGAGCCACTGGTGGGTTCAAACCCTTGACCTTTTGGTTAGCAGCTAGGCACCATTGTGCCACCAGGGCTACAGTGTAGCCTATAATGTGTGTATATATATATATATATATTTAAATCCATTCAAAACCCAAATAGCTGTAGTCCACAATACCTTGTTTGCAAACTTGAGGCATTTCAGAACTCAGAGTATGTGGGATCTTAGACAAGTTTACATATATGTGATGGGAGCATCCAGTAGGGCCTAGGGGAATATCCCACTATAACACGAGCTCATGTTTTTATGGTCAATGTGCATGTGTCCACACTAACTGGAAGGACTAGGACCAATAACACATTCATTGTGCCATTCAGGCCAGGTTGCTGCCACCAAACAAAATCAGATCAGCTTATACTTTACAGCTAAATGAGCCCCGCTGAAATGTTTAGGGTTTGGGGTTTCAGAGTTGCAGATAAAGGGTCATGATTCTGTATCATTGAGAATACATTTTACAGGATGAAATGGATGAAATCTCTAACAAGTCAGGTCATCATTAGACAGAGAGCTGGAGATTCGAGCATTTGAGAGCAGCGGGAGGTCCTGATAGTGTCACCTGGCCTAATGTTCATGCATTGAAATGATGACACTCAGGGACTTAGTAGCCGATTCACCTGCATCACGGCCGTTTGCTGACCCCACTGACTATTCCCCTGAGGAACTGCCTCCTCTAAAAGCCCACCATTTGCACACAATGGATTGGCACCTGAACTTCGTTCATCTTAGAAGTCCTTGCACTCCTCATCTCAGTACAGCCCTGTCACTCTCTGTTCCCTTAGCAGCAAAGTCTTTCCCAGTCTGTCTCCCCGTCCCTTTCCTCCCACCAGGTTCCAGCAACAAGAGGTGCCCACTGGCCTCCAGGCCGAGGTCTCCCTGCTTTCAATGGGTCCCCGCGCTGCTGCCTCATAACTCAGCTCTGACCCGGAGGCTCTGCCAGCCCTACCCCAACGACTCTCCTCCAAGCTCCAGGGGCACACCTGCCAACGCCTCTTCCTGGCAGCGAGAGGCCCTGGAGGGCAAGGCTGCACTGGCCTGTGTGCACCCTACTCGAGTACCTCAGCACCCCCAGGCTCCAGTCAGCCTTGGAGCACTCTGATGACTCACCACTCTGTCCCCCGCACCCCCCACGCCTTCCCCAACAACCCTCTTCCAACTGACCCTTTCAGATCTAGCTCTCGTGGTCCCCTCTCCACACAGCCCATGGGCCTAACACAGGTTTGGCTGTTGTTGGTCCTCGGGCTCCACCCAAACACCCCACCGTATGTCGTCAGTATGTGTCTGTCCGGCGTTCTCCCCCGTCGGGCTCTGAGCTGTCCGTCTGCCGCGTCTCTCTAGCCCCGTGCAGGGTGTGCCTGGCACAAAGCAGCTGTCTGGAAATGTTTGTTGAAGGAATGAAGGATCATTATTACCTCACATATCCCATCTACACAAACATTACGGCTATCCTCCGAGCATGGGGTCCCATCTTTGACTTTATTTGACAAAGAAAAGAAGAAATCAAATCCTTCTGCGATACAGTAGAGTTTGCATAAGTTCTGATCTTGAAGAGAAATACACACACAAACACACATGAGAAAGATACTTCAGCTCTGGTCTGCTCTCAAGTTCAGACCCCCTCATTGCAATCTCTTTCTTTTCTTTTTCTCGCCCAGAAATAACTCCCACACAATCACGTATTTAACAAAAGACATTATTTTACGTTGCCTCATTAAGTTTTGCTCTTCCCTATAACCTTCCTTAGTACTGTAAATGACCCGCAGTTAACTTTTACTCTTCTCTCTCCATTACACGTTGATTGGCACATAGTAGGCATTCAATAAATATTTGTTGACTTGAACAATGATATTAATATTTCAATAGAATAATTCATTACTCTCTTACATAAATTCACAAAAGTTCCTACCATTTCCTAGCAATGTACAAGACTCTTACAAGTGGAATATAACAAAAGTTTAAACTATTTACTAAGTTTCTTAACAGCTAATTCACTTGATGAAATACATGTAAGATTGTTAAACTGGAAAAAGAGACTAACTTTTCAGACAAAATTTCCAGAGAACAATGCTTTCTATAAAATATAATGTCAACAAACAAACAAACAAACCAATGAAAAGCTAATCCATGGAGAATATGGGTACTGTTACAAGTTTAGGTTGGCAGGCCAAGTTCACTTCTCCCTTGATAATCCCCTCCAAGTGTTTATGGCTTATGTGATTCAGGTGTAAAAAGGGCAATAAAACAGCTGGCGTTGAGTTGATTCCCACTTACAATGACGCCATGTGTGTCAGAGTAGAACTGTGCACCATGGGGTTTTCAGTGGCTGATGTTTTTGGAAGTAGATTGATTGCCAAACCTTTCTTCCAAGGCACTGCTGGGGGGGGGGCAGTTCACACAGTCAACCTTTCAGTTAATAGCTGAGCTCTTAACTGGGCCACCAGGGTTGCCATGAGCTTTTACAGAAAAGAAAGTCCTTTTTCTTTTGTTCTCCTCTTGGTAAAGAAGAAAACAGTTGGTGACCAAATTCTGTATTATCTTAGCTGGTTCCATAAGCTTAAGACCCTTCCACAGACACTTTCCTTCCTGCGCAAGATCAGAAACTAAACAAATAATTCTAAGGGTCGCATTGAATGTTGGTGTCAGTGCTTAAGGGACATATTTTCTGAAGGCTGTCAAAGTCAGAAGTAAAACACATATTTTCTGATCCCAATTCCAAAGCTCTTTCTCCTCTTATCTCATGTCTAACACTAAAATCTGTTATTGCAAATCAATTCCAACTCATAGGGACCCTATAAGACAGAGTAGAAATGCCTCATAAGATTTCCAAGTCAGCAAATCTTCATGGAAGCAGACTGCCTCATCTTTCTCCCATGGAGTGGCTAGTGGGTTCAGACTGCCAACCTTTTGGTCAACAGTTGTGCGCTTTAACCACTATGCCATCAGAGCTCCCATCTCATGCCTACTATTATCTTCCTCATGGCCATACTTTGTACTGAGTTTAGGACTAAAAACACAACCAAAAATGCATTGGGTGGGACTACTACACTTTTTTCTTCCAGAGTCTGCTATCTTCAGAAACCTCCTACCATGAAAACACTGTACACATTGGAAAAATAAAAGAAAATGTCAGATAAGACTTTTTGGTTTGTCAGATAAAACAGCCCAACCTTTGCTTGGACAATACATCCACATTCAAGTAATGAGATGAGTAGGTGTTCTTTGAATTATTCTTTAAATTTTGCTACTTCAGCTACAAAGTTCAAGTTACTATAATCATAAGAATAATACATACTTCTCTTCCACTGGAGAATAAAGTCTTACACAGGCTACAAATAACATTTTTGATATATGCAGGGAGCTCTGCTGGTGTAATGCCTAAGGTATTGGACTGTCAACCAGAGGGCTGGTGGTTCAAACCCACCAGCCACTCCTCAGAAGGAAGACTGGGCAATATCTACTTCTGTAGAGATACAACTTCAGAAATCCATGGGTGGGGGGGGGTCACTATTAGTCAGGCCTTCTTGGTTTATAGCGATAGATCAAGACTTTCCACATATAGTACAGTATATTTGAGAATTATTTGATCTTCTAAGACATATTAATTTTTTCTATCCTTCCTTGATAATTACAAATATTCAGTGGGTGACATGCTTATAATAACATCATCATTCATGAATTATATAAAAACAGTTAATCCATTAACTGTGCACTGTCTACCTTGAATTTTTTCTATTTCTTCTCTGGCAAAATTTGTATCATGTTATGTATACACTCTCTATTGGCTTTTGACTTCCTTACCATACAGATGGGTGACTTTAGGCAAGAGGCCAGGGGCTATGGGGCTGGCAAAATCAAACTAACCCCAAATGAACTGAAAAGCATCTGTGACACTGACCTCATCTGGTGACGTTTGGTCTATTGGAAAACCACACTATCAATGGTGACACTTGGTCTATTGGAAAACCACACTATCAATAGCATGCTCCTTTAAAGAATGAAGACAAGACAGTATCAGGTTAGTAGTAGAAAATGGAGGTGGAGACTTACCTTCCACCTGTGTGTACGGCTTCCACTTGTAGTGCCATCCTCTGAACTGTTTACTGTTGTATTCTGCACACTGGATGGCTCGGAAGTCAAGACTATTGTGAGGACATTTCTGACTGTTGCAAAGCTTCAAAGCACGAGTAGAGCCATCACAAAATTTCCCTCCATGGGATGGTCTGGAATGTACAGTCAGAAGTTAGAACCTTCATATTTTAGAAGATCTTCACACCATCCTTGAAATGAGATGTTTTTGAGGTATGGGGCTGAGAGTGTTAACTGACTTAGAGTCACCAGCTAAGTAAAGTGCATTTCTAAGAAGTCCCTGATCTTTCCTACACATCAATGAGATGGGCAGACTTTTCCTTTTGTATTGAGTGTATCACTTACTACACGGAACACAAAGGATCCTGGGAAGTGGGCTTGCATGTATTGGTTCTCTGATGCCTCCCAAAACCCCATGTATTTTCGCACATTCCATGGGGAAGGAGGGCAGTGGATTTCCCAGGATTGCAAAGATAATAGAAAGCACAGCTGAGACTGAAATGCAACTCCTCACTCTCCAGGTCTCATCTGCTTCCCACGGCCAGCCTCCTTATGACAAGGGCAGGGCAGTAAGATCAAGTGAGAAGAACCATACACTTTCATTGGCTGGTAAACACCATACACCACCCTGTCCTCCAATAGAGTTTGTTACACTCTACAACTGGAGCATCTCTGAAATAAGGAGTAGAGTAGGGGTGATCTCTTGAGAACTTTTCCTTATGTTTTAGAGATGGCATCAAATAACAAGTGATATTATTTCTTAAATAAATCTAGGTATGAAAAGGTGGCTTCAAAACTCCCTCACTTCATCACATTGATGATTGCTTTGAATATTCTTATCTTTTAACACAATTAAACAACATGTTGTAAAGTTAAATATATTTGAGGGACACACCAAAATTTATCATTAATTGTTCATGAACAATTTGTTTTTACTGTCTGTCAATCATTTATGTTCTATATCTTTTCAAGATTTAATATCATGATTATTATTTTTGGTTGTTACAATTAAGAGTATAACAGCAGGACGTAGATCAATTCAACAATTCCTGCATATACAATTTGGTGACAGTGATTACATTCTTCAAGATGTGAAACCATTCTCACCCTCTTTTTCTGAGTAATTCCTCTCCCAGTAACATCAACTTACTGCTCCCTAAGCTTTTTCTCTTACCCGTTGAGTTGCTATTATTCATTTTATCCCATATGTTGTTGTTGTTATGTGCCGTCGATTCAGATCCGACTCATAGCGACCCCTCCTTGGGTTTCCAAGGCAGTATCACTACTGAAGTAGATTGCCCCATCTTCCTTCCGAGGAGTGGCTGGTGGGTTTAAACCGCCAGCCTTCTGGTTAGCAGTCAAGTGCCTTAGGCACTATGCTACCAGAGTAGATCTTAAAAGAGCACCAATCTCAAACCATGTATTCTTTACTAAGTAAGTTAAACTATTGTTTGGCTTAAAGATTATCTCAGGGTAATAGTTTCGGTGATTCATTCAGACCCATTAGATTCAAATAGTCTGGATTCCATGAGAAAGACATTGTTTTATTTTTAAGGCAGATTCTTGGCATTTCACATGAATATGATTAAAGCCTAATTCCTGAAAATCACTGTTAGGTCTGTAAACCCTTTTGCTGTGGTCAGGTAGTTATAAACATTTTAAATTATATCTTAGACATAACGTAAGGAAAGCTTGAGTAAAACATCTCTCCAATTTAGTGTTTCTTGCAGTAATATGTAAAGTATAAAGCTAATATGGACAAGGTTAGGTTCCCGCGTGGGGTTTGCAAGGTTCATGGCATAAGGATGGCTTGTTTGTGAGGATGGGGGTTGTACATACTTGGGATTTGTGCAGCTGCGTTCTCTGCGGGAGACCCCTCCTCCGCAGGTCCTAGTGCAGGGGGACCAGGGAGACCAGTCCGACCAATGGCCATGGGTGGGTTGGGGGCCTTTGTCACCGTATTTCACACACTGCCCTCCTCGGCACCACTAAAAATTAAAATAATAAAAATAAGTTTCTGTGACTCATGGATAGATGGATGGCATCACTTTGATCACTATTGTCACACTGAGTACTGGGAGCTTTGCAAAATACTCAGCAATTAGCATTCCTACCTGCATGATTAACAGAGAAAAGGCTGGAGCTGTCAAGGATTTCATTTTCCTTGGTTCCACAATAAACACTCATGGAAGGAACAGTCAGGAAATCAGATATTATGTTACATTGGGTAAATCTGCTGCAAAAGACCTATTTAAAGTCTTAAAAACCAAAGGTATCACTTTGAGGACTAAGGTGCACCTGACCCAAGCCATGGTATTTTCCTTGTGTGTGTGTGTGTATGTGTGTGTGTGCGTACCCTCTGGTTAGTGGTGTGCCTTCCCTACCCCTCCCACCTCTGGTAAAATTAAAAGAATATTACTGTTTATGTGAAACTCCTTTGTTGACTTTTTATACTAGTGGTCTCACACAATTATTAATAAGAAATTAGTCCTTTTGTAATAGACTAATTTCACTTAGCATAACAAGGTTCATCACACCATGAGATGTTTCACAGATTCATCATTGTTCTTTAACACTGCATAGTATTTCATTGTGTGTATGTACCATAGTTTGTTGACTCATTCATCCTTTGATGGCATTTTTGATTGTCCTATCTTTTTGCTACTGTGAATAATGCTGCAATGAGCATGGGTGTGCATATATCCGTTGGTGTCATAGAACTCATTTCTGTAGGATATATATCTAATAGTGAGATTGTTGCATCATATGGTATTTTTATTTTCAGTTTTTTAAGGAAGCATCATATCATTTTCCACAGTGGTTACACCATAAGACACGGTATTTTCAATCACTGCATATGCATGTAAAAGCTGGACAATGAATAAGGAAGCCTGAAGAAGAATTGATGCCTTTAATTATGGTGTTCATTAAAAATATTGAATAGACTATGGACTGTCAGAGGGATGAACAAGTCTGTTTTCGAAAAAGTAAAGCCAGAATGCTCCTTAGATGTGAGGACGGCAAGACATTGTCTGACACACTTTGGACATATTACCAGGAAGGACCAGTTCCTGGAGAAGAACATCATGTTTGGTTAGTAGTTGTTGTTGTTAGGTGCCATCGAGTCATCTCCAACTCATAGTGACCCTGTGCACAGTAGAACGAAACACAGCCTGGTCCTGTGCCAGCCTCATGATCCTTGCTATACTTGGGCCCATCATTGGCAGCCACTGTGTCAAATCATTTCTTTGAGGGTCTTCCCCTTCTTTATTGACCCTCCACTTTACCAAGCATAATATCTTTCTCCAAGGAATGGTTCCTTCTGACAACATGACCAAAGAAGGTGAGATGAAATCTGATCATTCTCACTTCTAAGGAGCATTCTGGCTACATTTCTTCCAGGACAGATTTGTTAGTCCTTTTAGCAGACCATGGTACTCTTAGCATTCTTCTCCAACACCACAACTCAAAAACATCAACTCTTCTTTGGTCTTCCTTATTCATTGTCCAGCTCTCACATGCACAAGAGGTGATTGAAAATACCATGACTTGTGTCAGGTGCACCTTAGTCTTCAAGGAGAATCTTTGCTCTTCATCACTTGAAAGAGGTCTTTTGCAGCAGATTTGCCCAATGCAATATATCGTCTGATGTCTTGACTGTTGCTTCCATTGATGTTGACTGCAGAACCAAGTAGTATGAAGTCCTTGACAACTTCAATCTTTTCTCCATCTGTTATGAAGCTGTTTATTGTACCAGTTGTGAGGATTTTTGGTTTCTTTATATTGATGGGGAAGCAGAGGGTCTGTAAAAAAGAAGGAGACCCTCAACAAAAAAGATTGACACAGTGGCTGCAACAATGGACTCAATCATCTCAACAATTTTGCGGATGGTGCAGGAAGGGGCAGGGTTTTGTTTTGTTGTACATCAGGTGTCTATGAGTCAGAACTGACTTGCTGGTATCTAACAACAACAGCAACAGCAACCTTAAAGTACCAGATAAAAAAGGTAAACTTGATGCTGCATCTTTTTATTTCTTCAAACTTAGCATCATTCCATACAAATTGATTCAACATGTTGTTGCTGTTGTTGTGTGCCATTCAGTTGAATTGACTCTTGATCATAGAGGACAGAGTTAGAATTGCCTCATAGGGTTTCTAATGCTGTAATCTTTATGGAAGCAGATTGCAAAATCTTTCTTCCATGGAGCCAGTAGTGGGGTGGAACTGCTGAACTTCCAGTCAGCAGCCAAGGACCTAACCATTGCACCACCAAGACTCCTGTGATTCAACAAAAGGAAGATAAATAAATATAAATCATTTTCTAACATCAGGGCTTAGGAAACCATTGCTCAAACTCCAATCTCGTTGCTTCACTCTCAAGTCAGCAAGTTCTACCCTCTCCTGAAAACAAGGCACTCGTCATATCTCACATTCAGAGATTCCTGAGTATCAGGTTGGAAGCTCTAGCTGTATGGATCCATGTGGCTCAACACCCTGTTCTTTCTGGTTGGAGCCTCGACGCTTTCATTTCATGGATTCATTTCATTTCATGTGGACTCAATGTCATGAAGTCATTGACTGAAAATATGTCAGAGGTCACATGGCTTTCCCGGGAGATGAAACTTTCTATCCATCGTTCCATCTCCTCCTACAAGGCTGGAGATGTCACCAGCTGCATTTCTCTCAAGAGAAGTGTTTTTCAGTAATAACCCACACCAAAACCATGTGGTGACTTCACCCCATCACACATACATGACACGTGGTGTTCAGCATTGTGCACGATAGTGTTGGTTTTATCTCCTGTGGTTTCAAGAATGTCAGAGGCCCAGGACTTCTGCTAAGAGGAAGGAATAAAGCAGTTTACCCCTTGTGCCTGCTTTGGGTGGAACCAATGGGGCCTGGCAATCCTGAAAGGGATGGAAGGGAGGCCAAGCTTTCTGTCTCTAAGAGGAGATCCACCAGATTTCCATGGAGAGGAAAAAAAATGCTGCTTTTATAAGAAAATAAAAATATTTCAAGTATTAATTGGAGTGCCTGGGTGACACAAATGGCTAAGTGCTTGAGGATTAGTCAAAAGATCCGTGGCTGGAACTCACTCAGAGGTGCCTTGGGAAACAAGTTTGGTGAGCTGTTTCCAAAAAAGCACGGCTTTTCAAACTCTACGGTGCTGTTCTACTGTGCACATAGGTCTCTGGGAGTTGGAATTGCCTCATGGCAACAAACACCATCACCAAATTATTAATTGCTGTATTAGATTAGAAGGAGTTCTAGTGGTGCAGTGGTGAAGGCATTTGGCTGCTAACCAAAAAGTCAGTCATTTGAACCTGCCAGCCACTGCATGGGAGAAAGATGAGGCACTCTGCTTCCATAAAGATACAGGCTTGGGAACACTACGGGGCAGTTCTATTCTGTTCTATAGGGATGCTATGAGTTGGAATCAACACGATGGCAGTTGGTTGGGTTTGGTTTTGGTATTAGGTTAAACAGATGAAATCATTAATATTTGAATATTTTTGATTCACAAAACCAGCAACTTCAAATGGTTCAATCTAATATTATTTAATCAATAAAAATGAGTGTAAAGCTTATGTTATTTTGAGGACTAATTGCCATTCATTTAATTTTTGATTTTTCACTGTAAGTAAAATAATAATAATTCCCTTTTCCATTACTATCCCCCTCACTCTGAATGACAAAGCCAAGTCCCACTCAACTCAATGACAGCTACTTGGGAATAGGCCACCTGATGTCATGATGGTGACATGAATTAAAAAGGAGATTAGAGCAGAGACTAGAACAAGGTCAGCTCTTGCCAGGTGTGGATAGGACCATAGGAGGAGGAGAGATAAGCCAAGGGTGCATGTTGTTGTTGATTTGTTTTACTTTTATAATCATCTGGTGAGGGTTTCTAATGTAGGGGATACTAAATATGAGAAAGCAAGTATCAAGGAGTTGAAGATCCAAAACATATTTTCAGGAAAAGCTATCTTGTTTGTAGATAATTGGAAGATTTAGAGGTCTGGAATGAAGCCCCAGAGTAGAAAATGGACGGATGATGTGTGATCATCAATATGGACAGTGAGGAAAAAGTTGGACAATAGAACATTCATGCCTGCTTAGTGGGCCACTGGCAGAACTAGGCACTTGTGCAACTGGCCCTAGATTGGAAGTGAAATTGGACTCTGCTTTTAGACATTTGGGTTTTCCAGACTGCTGAAGTTGGTAGAATTGAAGACTTTTTTAAAAATTGAAAATCTTCAATTTTTACCAACTTCTGCAGTCTGAAATTGACCAAACATCCAATCAAGATGTGCTGATTATCACTGGTGATTGGAATGCAAAAGTTGGAAACAAAGAAGAATCACTGGTACTTGGAAAATTTGGCCTTGGAGATAGAAATAATACTGGAGACTGCACTATATAATTTTTCAAGACCCACAACTTATTCATTGCAAATACCATTTTCCAACAATGCAAATGGCAGCTATACACATGGACTTCACCAGACGGAGTACACAAGAATCAGATTGACTACATCTGTGGGAAGAGGTGATGGAAAAGCTCAATCTCTTCAGTCAAAACAAGGCCAGGAGCTGATTGTGGAACAGATCATCAACTGCTCATTTGCAAGTTCAACTTGAAGTTGAAGAAAATTAAAAAAAAGTCCACAAGAGGCAAAATATGACCTTGATTCTATCTCTCTTGAATTTAGAGACCATTTAAATAATATATTTGATGCATTGAACACCAGTGACCCAAAACCAGAAGAATTGTGGGATGACATCAAGAACATCCATGAAGAAAGCTAAAGGTCATTAAAAAGACAGGAAAGGAAGAAAAGACCAAAATGGATGTCAGAAGAGACTCTGAAACTTGCCCTTGAATGGGGAGTAGCTAAAGCAAAGGGAAGAAATGACAAGATAAAAGAGCTAAACAAAAGATTTCAAAGAGCTCCTCGAGAAGACAAAGTCAAATATAATGAAATGTGCAAAGATATGGAGTTGGTAAGCCAAAAGGGAAGAACACACTCGACATTTCTCAAGCTGAAAGAACTGAAAAGGATATTTAAGCCTCGAGTTGCAATACTGAAAGATTCTATGGGTTATATCTTGAATGATGCAGGAAGCTTCAAAAGAAGATGGAAGAAAGAGTCACTGAACCAAAAAGAATTGATGTTCATCCATTGTATGAGGTGGCATATGATCAAGAACCAATGGTGTTGAAGAAAGAAGTTGAAGCTGCACTAAGGGAAGTGGTGGGAGCTCTGGTAGCATAGTGGCTAAGGCACTTGACTGCTAACCAGAAGGCTGGCGGTTCAAACCCACCAGCCACTCCTCGGAAGGAAGATGGGGCAATCTACTTCTGTAGTGATACTGCTTAGGAAACCCAAGGAGGGGTCGCTATGAGTCAGGTCTGACTCAACGGCACATAACAACAACAACAAGGGAAGTGGTGAAAACAAGGCTCCAGGAATTGATGGGATACCAATTGAGATGTTTCAACAAACGGATGCTGCACTAGAGGCACTCTCTTGGCTATGCTAGGAGATTTGGAAGACAACTACCTGGCCAAGTGACTGGGAAAGATCCATATTTGTACCCATTCCAAAGAAAGGTGATCCCAAAGAAAGTGGAAATTATCAAACAATATCATTCATATTACACACAAATAAAATCTTACTGAAGATAATTAAAAAATGGTTACAGCAATATATTGACAGAGAAATTCCAGGAATGCTAGCTGGATTCAGAAGAGGACATGGAATGAGGGATGTCATTGCTGATGTCAAATAAATCTTGGCTCAAAGCAAAGAATACCACAAAGATGTTTACTTGTGTTTTATTGACTATGCAAAAGCATTTGATTGCGTGGATCACAACAAATTATGGATAACATTGAGAAGAATGGGACTTCCAGATAACTTAATTGTGCTCATAAGGAACATGTACATAGACCAGAAGGCTGTTATTCAAACAGAGAAAGGGGACAATGCATGTTTTAAAATCAAGAAGGGCATGCATCAGGGTTGTATCCTTTCTCTACACTTATTCAATCTGTATGCTGAACAAATAATCCGAGAAGCTGGACTATGTGAAGAAGAAAGTGGTATCAGGATTGGAAGAAAACTCATTAACAATCTAGTTATGCAGACGACACAACGTTGCTGGCTGAAATTGAGGATGACTTGAAACACTTACTGATGAAGATTGAAGACTACAGTCTGCAGTATGGATTACACTTCAAAATAAAGAAAACAAAAATCCTCACAACAGGACCAATAAACAACATCATGATAAATGGAGAAAAGATTGAAGTTGTCAAAGGCTTCCTATTACTTGGTTCTACAATCAACACCAATGGAAGCAGCAGTCCAGATATCACACATCATATAGCACTGGACAAATCTGCTGCAAAGGACCTCTTTCAAGTGCTGAAGAGCAAAGATGTTTCCCTGAAGACTGAGGTATGATTGACACAAGCCATGGTATTTTCAATTGCCTCATATGCATGTGAGAACTGGACAATGAAAAAGGAAGACCAAAGAAGAGTTGATGCTTCTGAGTTTTGATTTGGCAAAGAATGCTGAAAGTACCATAGACTGTTAGAAGAGCTAACAAATCTGTCCTGGAAGAAGTGCAGCTGAAATACTCCTTGGAAGTGATAATGGCCAAACTTCATGTCATCTACTTAGGTCATGTTGTCAGAAGGGACCATTCCCTGGAGAAGGATATCGTGCTTGGCAAAGTGGAGGGACAACGAAAAAAGGGAAGGCCCTCAACAAGATGGATTGACATGGTGGCTACAGTGATAGGCTCAGGTATAGCAAGGATCATGGTGCTGGCACAGGGCAGGTAATGTTTCATTCTGCTGTGCATGTGGTGGCTATTAGTTGGAGATGCCTTGATGGCCCCTCATAACAACAACAGGCTGCTGAAGGAGCAGCTGGAAGACACAGGCAGCAGCTTGGCAGGAGTTAGGGCTGAATTATGTTGGCAGGTATCCTCTGGACATGCACAGGGAGCCAAGAAACTGAGTGGGTGCCACTGCAGAGAAGCATCACAGGGAAGGCAGATGGGAGAGCTGGGTGGTTCTGAGACATCAAAGATGGGCCAAGATGCTTTAGATGCCCTTCCTCCCTAAAAATGTCTTTGAATGCCTACCCATAGCAGAGGTTGATAAATAGGAAAAACCAAAGACCAGACAATGGACAATCCTTGGTCCAACCTCAAGAAATGAGCTTCATTAAAAACCACTTTCTTCACAGCAGGGCGGTCCATGGTCACAGAACTACAGGAATATACTTTGGAATACCGCAGAGTAGTTGGTGAGTTCTAGATCACTTGCAGTAACTGCACTACTGTGAATTTTCTTCTTGATTGGAACTTAAACCGTTCTCAGCACTCGCAGTGTTAGACACACTGGCTTCACTGTCCCAAAGCCATTGTGTATCTGCTATCAGTTAAGCACCCTAGTGATCAGTGTGGGATGAACCGCATATGCTCTTTGCAAGTAATTTTACCTCATTCATGTTTATTTTCTCAGTTACCATCCCAGATACCTAACTGAAAATTATACATTAGCATTGCCTGTAAACATTTTAAATTCTTTCTGTCTGTACACACATCTAAACATGAGATATCTGCTTGGGACTTAAACATTATAGGTCAATGATAGCCCATTATTTATTTCTCATGTGCAAAATTAAAGCGTAATCTGTCACTGTTGAGTCCATTGTGTTGCTGTTGAGTTAATTCTGACTCAAGTGACCCCCATGGGTTCAAAAGCCGATCTGTGCTCCATACAGTTTTCTTGGCCATGATTTTTATAGAAGCAGACCACCAGGCCTTTCTTCCATGGCTCTATTGGGTGAGTTTGGGCAGCAGTAGGGCACAAATTGCTTGTGCCTCCTAGGGACAATGAGTACCCCTAAAAATGATGGACATATAAAGAGTGATGATGGCTACAGTAATGATATGGGTCCAATAATGTCTGTCTTCATCAATAGTATTCTATATCCTGAAAAAGCAATGCAGCCTCTGATTAAATTAAAATCAATGAAATTATTATTCTTGAGCAATATTTATCTTTTAAGTTTTAATAAAAACAATTTTTATTTTCTACCATTTACTGGCTTTTCTATTTCTCCTTCTCTCCTAACCCAGCTCCCCCAGGCCCTGAGGCCAGGGCAGCAACAACAGGTCTAAGTGGTCTATTCCATGGTTTTCAGATGATGCTCTGTGTCCACATCAGGAATATTCAATGCTGGTGCCTTTACACGGTTCACTGGTGTCACAATAAATGTCTGTAATTAATACTCAGTAAGCAGTTAACAGATTCAGAGTCATGACCTTCTATCTAACATGTGTGTCTGTTAACTCCAGATGTTGTTGCTGCGTATTGCTGAAGAGGCTCTGACTCACAGCCACCCTATGTACAACACAACAAAACACTGGCAGGTCCTGCACCAGCCTCTCCATCCTTGCTATGCCCGAGCCCATCATTGCAGCCACTGAGTCAATCCATCTCACTGAGGCTCTTCCCATTCTTCACTGACTTCTACTTTGGCAAGCATGATGCCCTTCTCCAGGGAATGCTCCCTCTGACAACATGATCAGACCCCAGATATATCATTATTATATTATGAGATGTGAGAAACAAAAGAGCCTTCTTCCTAATTTCAGTATTAAGTAAATATGGTCATTTGGCACAGGTGTTGTTGTTAGGTGCTGTTGAGTCAGCTCCAACTCATAGTGACCTTATGTCCAACAGAACGAAACACAACCCTGTCCTGTGCCAACCCACAATCCTTGCTATACCTGAGCCCATCATTGCAGACACAGTGTCAATCCATCTTATTGAGGGCCTTCCCCTTTTTCTTTGACCCTTCTCTTTACCAAGCATGATATCCTTCTCCAGAGAATGGTCCCTTCTGACAACACAGGTGTGGGAATGCACATATTTAAGAAGACAGGCTGGAAAAATGCCAGTGAAAGACAAAGAAAGATAATAGGGTGGAAAGACTCTAACATCTGAATTGGATGCCATGAACCTAAGAGGAACTTCTTACCATATCATGCCCACAAACAGTGCCTTCTGCTGCTGGCATAAACTTAGTTTCACATTTCCTTCCAACCCGATGACACCACAGGGCTTTACAGATGTCCTAAAGGGGAAAGGAGGTCATTAATAGTAAAAATGATTCCTGCATTTATTGCAAAATATCACTAGAAAGTTTAAGGGAAAAACAACTGATACGAAGTAAAAGCTGATGTCTTCTTATCAATAGATGGAGGTGGTAGAATAAGAAGTCATAAAATTCTCGTTTTGTACTTGGTTCTATTTAATTTTACTCTTGAAATTTTATTTATTTGTATTTATGATCACAATTTTAACAACATTTAGAAATCTTTGAAAAACATACAAAATCAAAGAACACTTATCATTTCAGAATTTATTCTTCTTGGCTCCACCTTTCATTAACCTCTCCAAATCTGACTCCTGGTTTTGAATCAAGGATGATTTTGAATCTTGTCAAACCTGCCCCTCTACCTAGCCATCCACACACCCACCAATTCTTCTATCCATCTTCCATCCATCCATCCCTCCATCCATCATCTATCCATCCATCCACCACTGACCATCTCTAAACCTTTCTTGAAAGCAAGAATATGTTAGTCATTTTGCTGGGCAAAAAGTTCCATATGTGACTATGACCCAGACCCTATACTCTTGAGCTTGGTCTTGCCAGGTAAGGAAATATTATGCTATACATAATCACATGGCACTAGTGGCAAGAGGTTCCCCAACAGGGGAAAGGACACAGTACAGGGTGAGTTTTCCAGAAGGAGAAAGGGCTTCTCAGGAGTGCTTTGTGGGACTCAGGGATGAACCCAGAGAAAACATAAGCCAACTCTTGAGATTCACACATTTGTCAAAGAAAAATGGGATAATATTCAATGAAGAAGGAAAGGTATACAGAATGAAGACACAGCAGGGACGGACCCTATCCACATGGCTGATGCACCAGTAAAATAAAACCAGATCCATGATCTGTAAGCTCTGAAAGCCTCTCCTTGAAGACTAAGGTGCACGGAACCTGAGCCATGGTATTTCCAATCGCCTCATATGCATGTGAGAGCTGGACAATGAATAAGGAAGACCAAAGAAGAGTTGATGCTTTTGAGTCATGGTGCTGGCCAAGAATGCTGAAAGTACTGTGGACTGATAAAAGAACTAACAGGTCTTTCCTGGAGGAAGTGCGGCTGGAATGTTTCTTGGAAGCGAGAATGGCCAGACTTCATCTCACCTACTTTGGTCATGTTGTCAGAAGGGACCATTCTCTGGAGGAGGATGGCATGCTTGGTAAAGTGGAGGGTCAATGAAGGAGGAGAAGGTCCTCAACAAGATAGATTGACACAGTGGCTGCAATGATGGGCTCAGGTATAGCAGGGATTGTGCAGGACTGAGCAGTGTTTCATTCTGTTGTTCATAAGTTTGGTATGAGTTGGAGATGACTTGATGGCACCTAACAACAACAAAAGCCTCTCCAAATGTAATGAATCTAGAAAAATTGGAAGTTGTCAAAAATGAAATGGAATGCATCAAGATTAATATCCAAGGCCTTAGTGAGTTGAAATGGACTGCTATTGGCCATTTTTAATCGGACAATCATATGATCTGCTATGCTGTGAATGACAAATTGAAGAGAAATGACATTTCATTTATCATCACAAAGAATGTTTCAAGATCCACCCTGAAGTACAATGCTGTCAGTGATAGGATAATATCCATATGCATACAAAGAAGAGCATTTAGTACTACTACTACTGAAATTTACACACCAACCACTAAAGCCAAAGATGAGGAAATTGAAGATTTTTTCTTATCAACTTGGCAGTCTGAAACTGACCAAACATGCACTCAAGATATACTGAGTTTTACTGGTGCCTGGAATGCAAAAGTTTGAAACAAAGAAAAAACACTGGTAGTTGGAAAATATGGCCTTGGTGATAGAAATTACACCAGAGATCACACGATAGAATTTTGTAATACCAATGACTTATTCATTGAAAATGCCTTTTGTCAAAAACATAAACAGTGGCTATAAACTGGATTTCATCAGATTGACTACATCTGTGGAAAAAGGTGATAGAGAAGCTCAATATCATCAGTCAAAACAAGACCAAGAGCAGACTGTGGAACAGACCATTAATTGCTCTTATTCAAGTTCAATTTAACCTGAAAAAAAGTCCACAGGAGCCAAAACATGACCGTGATTACATCCCACCTGAATTTAGGGATCATTTGAAGAGTGGACTGGGTTCATTGAACACCAATGAACAAAAACCAGAGGGGTTGTGGGATGACATCAAGAAAATTATAATGGAAGAAAACAAAAGGTCATTAAAAAGACAAGAAAGGAAGAAAAGACCAAAATGGATATCAGAAGAGACTCTGAAAGTTGCCCTTGAACGGAGGGTAGCTAAAGCAAATGGAGGAAATGATGAAATAAAAGAGCTGAACAGAAGATGTCAAAGGGCAGCTTGAGAAGACAAAGCAAAATATTATAAAGATATGTGCAAAGACCTGGAGTTAGAAAACCAAAAGGGAAGAACATGCTAGGCATTTCTCAAACTCAAAGAACTGAAGAAAAAAAAATCAAGCTTCAAGAGGCAATATTCAAAGATTCTATGAGCAAAATATTAAAAGAAGATGGAAGGAGTACACAGAAACACTGTATTGAAAAAAAAAAATCAGTCTATGTCCAACTATTTCAGAAGGTAGCACATGGTCAAGGACCAATAGTATTGAAAGCAATCCAAGCAGCACTGAAGGAATTTGGGGGGGGGGAGGCTCTAGAGATTGACAGAATACCCATGGAGATGATTCGGCAAACGGATGTAGTGCTGGAGGCACATACTCTACTCCAACAAGAAATTTGGAAGACAGCTACCTGGCCAACTGACTGGAAGAGATCCACATTTGTGCCCATTCCAAAGAAATATGATCCCACAGAATGTGGAAATTATCGAACAATATCATTAATATTACATCTGTGGAATGGAAACAAAATCCTCACAACTGGACCAATAAGCAGCATCATGTTAAAGGGAGAAAGGATTGAAGTTGTCTAAGATCGCACGTTACGTGGTTCCACAATCAACACTAATGGAAGCAGCAGTCAAGAAATCAGATGACGTATTGCACTGGGCAAATCTGCTGCAAAAGACCTCTTTCAAGTGCTGAAGAGCAAAGATGTCTCTTTGAAGACCAAGGTGTGCCTAACCCAAACCGTGATATTTTCAGTTGCCTCATATGCATGTGAAAGCTGGACAATGAATAAGGAAGACCGAAGTTAATGCTTTTGAGTTGCAGCGTTGGGGAAGAATACTGAAAGTACCACGGACTGCCAGAAGGATGAACAAATCTGTCCTGGGAAAAACCCAGCTGGAATGCTCCTTCGAAGTGGGAATGGCCAGACTTTGTCTCACCTACTTTGGACATGTTGTCAGAAGAGACCATTCCCTGGAGAAGGATACCATGTTTGGTAAAGTGGAGGGTCAGCGACAAAGGAGAAGGCCCTCAATGAGGTCAATTGACACATTGGCTGCAAGGATGGGCTCGGGCACAGCAAGGATTGTGAGGCTCGAACAGGACCAGGCAGTGTTGTGTTCTGCTGCACAAAGTGTTACTATGACTCAGAGCTGACTCAAGGCACCTGAAAATAACTATAACATCATTAATACCATATGCAAGTAAAAATCTGCTGAAGGTGACTCAAAAATCATTGGAGCAGTATGTTGATAGGGAACTTCCAGAATGCCATCTGGATTCAAAGGAGGATGTGGAATGAGGGATATCATTGCTGATGTTGATGGATCTTGGCTGAAAGCAGAGAATACCAGAAATGTGTTTACCTGTGTTTTATTGACTATGCAAAGGCATTTGACTGTGTGGATCATAACAAATTATGGATAATATTTTGAAGAATGGGAATTCCAGAACACTTAATTGTGCTCATGAGGAACCTGCTCATAGACCAAGAGGCTGTTGTTTGAACAGAACAAGGGGACACTGCATGGTTTAAAATCAGGAAAGATGTGTGTCAGGGTTGTATCCTTTCACCATACTTATTCAATCTGTATGTTGACCAAATAATGTGAGAAGCTGGACTATGTGAAGAAGAACAAAGCATCAGGATTGGAGGAAGATTCATTAACAATCAGCAACATGTAGATGACACAATTTTACTTGGTGAATGTGAAGATTACTTGAAGTTTTTACTGATTAACATTAAAGACTACAGTGTGCAGTATGGATTATACCTCAACATAATGACAACAAAAATCCCCACAATTGGGCCAATAAGCAGCATCACAATAAATGGAGAAAAGATTGACATTGTCAAAGACATCACATTACTTGGTTCTATAATCAACATCCATGGAAGCAGCAGTCAAGAAATCAGACGTCATATTACAGTGGGTATATCTGCTGCAAAAGACCTCTAAAGTTTTCAGAAGCAAAGATGTCACTCTGAAGACTAAGGTGCACTTATCCCAAGCCATGGTATTTTCAGTTGTCTCACATGCATGTGAAAGCTGGATAATATAAAAGAAGAACTGAACAAGAGTTGATGCCTTTGAATTATGGTGTTGGTAAAGAATATGGGAAGTACCATGGACTGCCAGAAGAATGAACAAATCTGTCCTGGCAGAAGTACATCCAAAATTCTCCTTGGAAGCAAGTTTGATCAGACGTCATCTTCCCTACTTTGGTCATGTTGTCAGAAGGGACCATTCCCTGGAGAAGGATATCATGTTGGTAAAGTAGTTGGTCAGCCAAAAAGGGGAAGGCCCTCAATCAAACGGATTGACACAGTGGCTGCAATAATGGGTTCAAGTAACGCAAGGATTGTGAGAATGGCGCAGAACTGGGCAGTGTTTCCTTCTGTTGAACATAGGGTTGTTATGAGTCGGAGTGAACTCAACAGCACCTAACAACAATAGCAAGCTCTCATATAAAACATGCTGGTGGTGGGCCAGCTCACCCTAGAACATGCAGCTTCCTAACTCAGTCCCTGTCCTGACCAATGCCATCTGTGTGTTTCAGCTTCACTCTGGAATTCCCTCCACCTCTGATTCCCTTCTTCTAGGTAGAAAA